TTCCCCTCCCGGGCTCCAGCTGCGCTGGGCAAGCGCCAGCCGGGGGCGCAGGGTCTGGGGGCTGCCCGGCAAACCCTGAAGCCAGTAGCGCTGGGGCAGCCCTTTCCCCGTGGCTGGGAGTGGGAGGGAGGAGGGGGCGGAGTTAGGGCGGGGAAGGGGCGGAGTTGGGGCGGGGCTGGGGGTGGGGAAATGGGCGGGGCCAGGGCCCGTGGAGGGTCCTCTTTTTTTATTTTTTAAATATGGTAACCCTACACTGGCTAATTGTGTGGGGAAGCCTGCACAGTGCCTGTGTGCATTATGGGCGACGCTGGTCTGTGCTGTTTTTTTCTCAGTGTAAAGAGGCCTACAGTTACCCAAGACAGTGACCTTGCAAATGCAGCCCGGGCCTCCTAGCACCCACAGCTCTTCCCAGCAGTGTTACTTGGTCCATGGACTGCAGGAGGCGGGTACTAACATGTGCAGCTTAGGGAAAGAGGTGCAATTCAATACACACTAAGATGCTGTTGCATTTTTAACCGAACCCCAGGAACCAACGCAGTTTCACGCAATCTGTTGCTGACTTGCTGTGTTCCCTCTGCAGTCATCCGTTCTGAAAACAGAGGCTGTGACTGTCAGCTCGGTGACTGGCACGAAGAAGACAGAACCAGAGGTCTCCGTGCACCACAGAGTCACCACGGCGGAAACAACACAGGTGACTTGCTCCTTTGCACTTGCTGAGTTTTACTCCGCAGCACGGCACTGCCACTCAAAAAGTGCGAGAGCCAGCAGCTTTGCACCACCATGCTTTCTGTGGAGCCTCATTCTGGAGTTAACAAAATCCCCAGACTGCAGGAGAAATAAAAGCAAACCAAACAGGTTCTTCCTCTTACCCCTCGGGGGTTGGAGACCCCTGGCCACACACATAGGATTCATTTCTGGGGCCTGATCTACACCTAAAACCCTAGCGACATTGCTCAGGGCTGTGAAAAATGTCATGCCCTGTGGGACATAGTTAGGTCAACCTAACCACTGGTACAGACATGGCTAGACCTTGCTACCACCTTTCGGAGAGGTGGATTCACTACATTAATGGAAAAACCTCTTCTGGTGATGTAGCGTCTACACTACAATGCTACGGGCCCAGCTACAGCGCCATAGCTTAGCCGTGGTAGTGTAGACATACCATTAGATCAGGTGAGGTTTTTACAATGTGCTGGTCAGTTTTGTGGGGTTTCTTTTTAATCCTTTAAAATGGTAGGCCTTCCTCAGCAGAGACCACAGACTAGACGGAGCAAAGACTGACGAGCCCTCTTCTTATCTAGAGACGTCAAATCAAGGCCCCATCCCACTCCTGGCTCTTAAAGAACTTTTCTCTCACACTTTTCTCACAGCACTTCTCTCTCACATGCACCCCCCTCCGCACGCGTCACTTGAATACGGGATTCACGTCCTCTCCTAAATTGGTGTGCAGCATTGCTGTGCATTGCTCTCTGACTGCTGTGCCCCTCCCACAGGAGGCTGCCTTGGTGGGGGGCAAATAACAGAGACCTGTGGTTTGCATTCCTGTTCATTAAACACATCGCACCAGGCTAGTTACTGCCCATCTGCAGCTTCAAGACGTGTCTACGGCTTCCCTACCCCCAGTGCGTCACTGCTCCAGGGCACTAACGTTCTGTCAGCAAGTGCAGACAAAGCAGACCAAGCGCTCCTTTCCAGCTGGCTAACTCCCCGGCTGTATCCGCGCGGACTCACCAGGTCTCCCCTTCCCTTGGCAGGTCGACAGAGGCACCACGGGCGGAAAAGAGACAACAGCCACGTCCCACATCGTCACCACAGAAAGCATATCAGTGACCTCAGTAAGCATGTGACCTCTGCGGAGCCAGGCCATCTTCTCCTGGGGTCCCCAGGTGGCGGTGTCTAATTGCGTCCTCCCTCATTGATTGATTCCTGGGTGCTGAGTGAGGGGGAGCGGCCCTGAGCTGGGTGGGGGGCTTGGCAGGGGGCGCTGTTCCATTGGGGACAGGGACGGAAGGGCACTCTGTCCCTGGCCATTTGAAGATGCCAGCAAACGAAGGGAGAGGCCTACAGACCTCCCGTGTTTCTGATGCTCCCCTCCCAGCTGTTTGTCCTGCTTGTGTCCATGCCAAAGCTCCAATGTAATGTTGTTCCTCCAGGATCACAGTACCAAGCCTGGGAAGGGAATGAGCCCCGCTACCGAACTTCGCTCCATATCTCCGGTGAGTTGAGAAGGTGCTTCCACTTCCCAGGTTTCTGTGCTGGACAGAGGCCCTGGGGGTGCTGCAGGGATGCTGTCTGGCTGTGAAATGCCACCCCTTGGAGCTGGCCCTTGGCTCAGGATTTAGGCTGTCCTCAGTTGGTAGCTCACGCACCTGCTGCATTATCTTTTCCTGGGCGCAGACACCCTCCTCCAGCATGGGGCCGGAGTGCACCATCTCCTTGCTGAGAGATTTCTGTGGAGCGGGAGGGGAGGACAGGCTGGCCATCCCACTTGCCTAAGGAATGCAGGGCAAGGCAGGGCCTGGAATCTTCCACCTGGTGACTCTCTACTGTCCAGAACAAGCACACACATTGAACACAGATTGGGACCGGAGAGCTCCCTAGGCTCACTCCTCGCTCAGGCAAAGGTCTCATTGACTCCAGGGGAGCTCTGCTTGAGCAGCAGCATGCAGGGGTTGGTCTAATATCACTAAGGCTTTGGAGCCGCAAGAGGTCAATGTCATGCACCAGCTGCAGATCCCTCTTCTCGGGCTCAATCCTGTGGGGTGATGCTCGGCTTCCATCGATGTCCATGGTCAGCAATTTGCGGGGCGCACTCAGCACCTTGCAGGATCAGGCCCTTAGAGCAGCACGTTCTGTTTTACTGCTTTCCCCCTTTGATTACTACTAGGCGGGGTAAAGCCCGGCCCGATGCTGCCCCCTGTTCCAGGTCAGTCACTTACCAGAGCCTACGTCCCAAAGAAGCACAGACACTTGGGGTGCCTGCAGCAGAGAAGGGGGTACACGCATCCAGCCCAGACACTCAGAGGAAAATTGCATCTGTCCTTAACTCTTCTGTGTTTGGAGTTGGATATAAAACAAAGGACCCCAAAGAAATGCAATAGAATGGAATTGTGTTCCCCATTGGGAGGGGCCCTCTCTGCTGCTCCATCAGCTGTTGTGGTTGCTCCGGAGATGACAGCCTGTCCCCACAAAAACACTTAGACCGGTTGTAAGCCTCTCTCTTGCCTGGCAAACTCTTCACCCCTCTGCAGGGCAGCCAAGCAGCAATTCATGGGCTGACAGGCTGAGTAATAGCCTTGGCTGTCTGAGCCCCACTTCTCTCTCTTCACTCCTTTTTTTTATCTTCCTCTCCCATCATGGGCTGGCTCCCAGTCTCACACAGGGAGGGCAGGGCTGGACTCAGCCAGCCCCTGCTAGCACAGCTCTCCCTCTGGTTGCACTCTCTCCTTGTGGAAGGACTATGAGAAGCACAAAAAAGGCCATGGTGGTGGGTGATCCAAGCCCTAACTCCCAACCTCCACAGCACAGCACAGAGCCAAACTAGGAGCAGGCCTGGAAGACAGTGAAAGAGAGAAAAGGAATGAAGAAAGAATAGGGAGGTTTGAATGATCTGTCCTGAGAACCGCGAAGTTGTAAGCTTTCTGGCATCCTCCCAAGCCCCACACTGATAGCATTAGGGGAAGTGGCATTACTGACAAGGGCTCCATTGCCCTTGGTCCTGTTGACGGATGTTCCTTGTGTGTTTTGTAGATCACCAGCAGCTCTGCTGGGAAGGAAGTTCTCACCAGCATATTTGGTGCCACTGCAGAAACCCTCTCCACCTCCACCACTACCCACGTTACCAAGGTAAGAATGACGAAGGCACAAAGTCAGGAGTGGGACATCATCAAAACATAATACCTTGTGGGCAGGCTGTGGGTTCCTTAAGAAAACAGCTTCCTTTGGGAGAGGAAGGACTTGTACACCAAATTGTAATGTACACTAATTGGAAACAGCAAACGCATCATCCCATAGTGGCCCATGACTGACGCCATTTACATAGCAACTGAACATGCAAGAGTCCTTTACCATTTAAAGTAAATGGGGCACTTTCAGCATTGTTATAAGTGGGTTCCACTTCATTGGGGCCAGTAGCACCGGGGTGAATTTGGGCCAATGTGTTTCTGCCATTTGTGGCTGTGTCCTACATTTCAGGAAGGAAGGCAGTTCGCAGTGTGCATGTCATATATTTATACACACCAGGGACAAATCCGATCTACTAGGAAAGGGGGGGATTTTACCAGTGAGGCAGAGAGAAATGTTCTGAGTTGGGTTGGATTTCTAAATTGCTCGGCATTGCCCCAGCTCCCCCTGATTTAATTGGGAGCAGAGTTGGGTCGGTGCTGAGCACTTTTGAAAATCTCACCTACCACACCTAATGCCAAACCAATGAAGAGAGCCATTTCCAAACCCAAGAGCCCTCCAGGGAAAACCACCCACACAGGTGCCCGATACTGGGGCAAAAACACATCAGCTGATCTCAGCTCTTGGGGTGACACACAGGGAAGGTGGGATCTCAAATTCAGCAGCTAACGTAGGACACAAACCATGGAAGCCTTTAAGGATCAACTTCAACGCCTTGAACTGCATCCCCAAGTGAACAGGAAGCCAGTGCAGTCTGTGGAGCACTGGCGCAATATGTTCCCTTTGGCCCTCCCCACCAAGCAATCAGACTGCTCTGTTCTCCACTAGCTGAAGCTTGAGCAGCCTCCAAGGCAGCCACCTGTCTAGTGCGTGAGAATCATCCAGTCTGTGTCCATCCTGCCCCCTTTTCCATTTCAGACTGTGAAAGGAGGGTTTGCAGAGACCAGAATAGAGAAGCGGATCATTATTACGGGAGATGAAGATGTGGATCAAGACCAGGTAGGAGGGAAACCTGTGGGAGGCCATTCGGTACTGTTAGGGGACCTTCAATGGTGACTCTTTCCTGCACTCGTTTCCTACTCTGCTGGGAAAGCAAGTCCGTCCACAGCCCAGCTATCACTGGGAAGTGCTTGCTTCCCTGAATGGATCATTCGCACCAGGGTGTGGAGGAGGGGATCAACTGGGGTGGAGGTGATATAGGGGTACAGCAAGCTCTGCACTCACAGCAAAGCCTATCTGTGCCCTGAGCAAGTGACGTGAAAGGTGCTGGCCAGTAGCATCTTCCAGTCTAGAGTCTCCCACCAGTGTCGCTTTAAGTAACGAGGAAACAGCACATGCTTGCTCTTCTCAGGTGTAGCTAGCTGTTTGGACAGTGAACACAGGCAGGCCGCTGGGGTGGCATAGCTGTAATTGAGATTACACTCTAACCACCAAAGGAGGGAGTGGATTGAACGCGTAAGCCAAGCACAATAAAAAAGAAATCCAAAACAAGGATTAAATTCAAACAAGGAGCCAGACTGTGGAATCCTCGAAGGATACGTCCACACTGCAGCCACGGGTGCGAATGGTACGTGCCCTAGCTGTACTCTAGCTAGCTCACTGAATATAGCAGTGAGGATGTGACCGCATAGGCTTCAGTGCTGGCTGTACAAGCAAGTACGTACCCAGGGGGATCAGTTGGGCTTGTGCAGCCCAGTCTGAAGCCCGCGTCTCAGCATCCTCACTGCTATGTTTAGCAAGCTAGCTAGAGTACAGCTAGCAGGGGTATGTCTACACAAGCTATAAAGCATACCTGCGGCTGCACTGTAGACACTCTTGGAGTCAAATAGGTTTGAGTTCTTTTTTTTTTTTTTTTTTACAAGCAGAGCGTTCTTATAGCTGGAGTTGTCATTTGCGTATTGCAACACTCTCTAGAGCAAACCTGGACCTTCCATCTTCTTCTCTATGGAGTTTCGCTGTAGCCCATCACACTCCAAGTGCTTCCAGTGAATGTATTCGTCGTGTTGAGGCGCTCTCTCTTTGTGAATGAGTAGCAGAGGGTGACACAAGTCTCTTGGACAGAAGAGCCGGATTCCAGGCACTGGTCCAGGACACGCTTCCTTACTTTATTTTATAATACCATTAAGAAAATCTCAACAATACAAAGTACAGAAAAAACTAAATGTAAAAACAAAGTTCTCTTAAAAGGAGCAGAATCTAAAATATTAGCTTAACACAAAGAATTGCTGAAGTTCCTCTGCTAAGAGTTCAGTGATGAAGACTCAGACGTTCTGCATCTCTAGCTGAAGAAATCTGGCAATAATATTTGCAAACTCATGGATGATAGGAGAGGTCCTGGAAGACTGGAGAACGGCTAACATAGTGCCCATGGAAAGGGAAAGGAGGAGCTGGGAAACTATAGACCAGTCAGCCTGACCTCAGTACCTTGGAAGCTACTAGAGTAATGTATAAAACATTCAATTTGTGAATACCTGGAGGATGAAGTGGTGATTACTAGCAGCCGGCATGGATTTACCAAGAACAAATCATGCCAAACCAGTTTGAGTTCCTTCTTTAACAGGGTAACAGGTTTCGTGGATAAGGGGAATGCGGTGGACATAATATACCTGGACTTCAGCAAGGCTTTTGACACAGTCCCACATGACATTCTGGAGGAATGCAGGCTTGGCAGAACTACCATTAAGTGGATACATAATTAGTTAACTGCAAACAAAGAGTAACTATTAATGGAAACATGTCAGATTGGAGGGAAATCTCAAGTGGGGTTCCACAGGGATCTCTTCTGGGTCTGGTTTGGTTTAACATCTTTATGAATGACCTGGATGTAGGAATAGAGAACATCCTGATGAAATTTGCAGATGACACAAAGCTAGAGGGGTTGTCAACACTTTAGAGGATTGAGCTAAAATTCAGAGTGATCTTGATAAATTGGAGAACTGAGCTATAGACAACAGAATGAATCCAACAAAGACAAGTGTAAGGTGCTGCACTTAGGGAAGAAAAACCAAACGCACAAATACAGAATGGGGGACAACTGGCTTGGCAGCAGCACTGCTGAGAAGGATCTGGGAGTTGTGGTGGATCACAACCTCAATGTGAGTCAGCAATGGGATGCTGTTGTAGGTTGTATTAACTGAGGCATAGCATGCAAGTCAGGGGAGGTGATGGTACCACTTTGCTCAGTGCTGATTAGGCCTCGGCTGGAGTACTGTGTCCAGTTTTGGTCGTCAATGTATAACAAGGATGTAGAGAAACTGGGAAGGATCCAGAGGTGAGCAACAAAGATGATCAAAGGGATGGAATGCAGCTATATGACCAAAGGCTGAAGGAACTGGGTATGTTTAGTTTGGAAAAGAGGAGATTAAGGGGGGACATGGTATCGGTCTTCAAATACTTGAAAGGCTGCCATAAAAAAGATGGAGAAAAGTTGTTTTTTCTTACCACAGAGAGCAGGACAAGACGCAATGGGTTCAAACTACAGCGTAGTAGACTTAGATTAAATTTCAGGAAAACCTTCCTAACTGTAAGAACAGTGGGACAGTGGAACAGACTGTCTAGGGAGGTTGTGGAAACTCTTTCACTGGAGGTTTTCAAAAGGAGGCTGGATCACCATCTGTCTTGGATGATTTAGACACTACAAATCCTGCATCTTGGCAGAGAGTTAGACTAGATGACCCTTGGTCCCTTCTATCACTATGATTCTACAGAAAATAAGTCCAGCAAAGAATGATGAATAGGACATCCTAGGGTTTTACAAATCCTTGGTCAGCTAGTAGGCAAGATGTGCTGGCAGGTCATTACCCACAGATTCAGCTTTGAATCTCTGTCTTTGGGTTCGCAGGGATGGTTAAGCTTCTCGAGAATTCAATCCAAACCCAGTTCCTTACGTGCCCAACCTTAGCCATGAGTAGTTTCACATGCCCTGGGCCCATTTTCTGACATGCTTGTGGCTTGCTCCAGAAGTAATGCTAATCTTGGCTATTAACAAAAGATGTAACTGACATTGTGGTAAATACTCTGACATTGTTCTGGTTTACAGGCATTGGCTTTGGCAATCAAAGAGGCAAAACTACAGCACCCTGACATGCTGGTAACCAAAGCTGTGGTATATAGAGAAACAGAACCATCTCCAGAGGAAAGGGACAAGAAACCTCAGGTATGTATAGAAGTTACAAGGTAGAGCCTCTCTCACGGGTACAATATATATAGGTTACAGTGCAGGCAGGGCATCCTCCATAGGTGCAATATGCTAGAATTGATAAATGGTACAAGCAGGAAGTCCTTCACAGATGTAATTCATTGACAACAATACAGGCAGGGAACCCCTCACAGCTATGATGCGTAAGTGATGATACAGGCAGAGCCTCTCTCATATTGTAGTTACAGTAGGAAATAGTGTAGATCAGAGCCATGAACAACTTTTTAAAAGGCTGCTCCTAGAGCAGCCTCTGAGACGTGCTACGGGGACTGCTTTGCTGCCCAATTCTCCGGGCTACTTGCAAAGCAGTTCTGTGAGCAGCACCATGTCTTCAGTGTTCTTTATCTAGGGTTGTCACAATGACTGTTCCAAAGGCCTTATCTCGGGGCCCAGTGTTTATCCCATTTCTTCTTGCACAGCCCCTCCTTACTTCCAAATACCCTCAGATTTCCTTCCTAGGAACCCTCTGTCAGTTCTCTTAATCGTTTCCCCGGTGTGTGGTGTTTCACTCATCTTCCGTCTTAGACGCTATGGGATAGGTTTGCAAAGGGCTTCCAAAAATGGCCATGTTTGTGACCGAGCCCATTTGCATATTCTAAGAACCCACATTTGCAACTGGAGAGGGATATCTGTGTATGCTCCAGGAGACTGGACTGTCCTGTCCAGAGGCCTGGGAATGGCCCAGAGAGCTTTTACCATCTGATTGCTGTGAGAAGACCTGTAACCACATCACCAAACCCACCACTACCATTGTCCTCCTTGTTATCGGGCTCAGCATGGACTGACTGAGCACTGTATTGCAAGTGCCCGTTCTGTGGGTAAAGTGAGGACTTTAGTCTTCAGGTTCTGCCAGCCTGCTACCACTCACCAGCACTACGTTCATCAGGAATAATTTTTTTAATTGCTTTTTTTAAAACCCAGTTCCCCAAGTTGCCTCCTTCTAAATGTCCATATGCCAGTGCTAAAGCATGTATTTTGCATGCACAGGCCGGTGCAGTCTCACAAACTCCAGGCGTTTCTGGAGCCCTCTTGAAAACACGGCTCTGCTTTTTGTTTTTCTTTCTATTTCTGATTGATCTAAATAATCTTGCTTTAAATTTCAGGGCTGGAGGTTGGAATTTTGAAAAATGGATGTTCGTAGTATCCCATTTCATGTGTTAGTCATCTGTTAAACAGGCATCCTGAGCTCATAAATGAAACAGACAGACTCTATTGTAAATAGACGCAATGGGCCAAATGCAACCCTGATGTGACCCTGTCAGCTTCAGAGGACATGTATCTGAGATGAATTTGGCCAGATGTCCAGAGACATTGGCACAGATACCAGAGATAGCTGGAACCAAGATCTGTCAGGTTTAAAATGTTTGGGTTTTGTTTGTTTTTGCACCTAAGCAGCTCGTAAGCTTTCATCACAATAGAAATAGTAAGGAAAAGGCAACAATGAGCTAATAAGGCAGCACAGGGACCTCAAACAAGGGAAAAAAATAGCAAGGGGACGCATCACCATTATATCGACAACAAAGAAAGGCAAAAGGGAGTCTAAAATAAAGGAAGACTGTGAAAGCTTGGTCACTGCAGTAAAATATGGGGCTAAAATCTCCTCAGTCATGGCTAAGGCTACAAGTTTGTCATGGAGGGCATGGAAGTCACAGTGACTTTCCATGACCTCTGTGACTTCTGCAGCGGCCGATGCGCCTGGCCTGGGGCCACCTGAGCAGCTCAGGCAGCCCCTGGGCCAGTTGCACTGCCTGCTGCTGAGGCAGTCTCAGGCCACTGCGCCCCTCTTCCCCAGCAGCAGGGGGGGGTTGGGGGGGGGGGGGGGGGTTTGGGGCGCGGGAGGGAGTGAAGGCTCTGGGCGGCGTTTACCTCGGGGGTACCCTGGAAACGGCGACATCCCTCCGCTCCTAGGTGGAAGTGTGGCATGGCTAGGGGACTCTAAGCCCTGCCTCCGCCTGCAGGCACAACCCCCGCAGCTCCCATTGGCCGTGGTTCCCGGCCAATGGGAGCTGCGGAGCAGGCGCTTGGGGTGGAGGCAGCATGCAGAGATGTCTGGCCATGCCTCTGCCTAGGAGCTGAGGGATGTTGCCGCTTCCAGGGAGGTGCAGAGCCAGGTAGGGAGCCTGCCAGCCCCGCCAACCTCCCCTCCCCCAGCACCAGCGAGGGTCCTGAGCTGCACTGGCGGTGCCCCCTGGGGTGCCCTTTTCCCCTGGAGCACCCACGGTGCCCCCCGGTCATGCCCCTCCCCCCCGATTTAGTCAGGGGTATATAGTACAACTCATGGATAGGTCACGGGCCATGAATTTTTGTTTACTGCCCATGTCCTGTCCATGACTTTTACTAAAAATACCCGTGACTAAAACGTAGCCTTAGTCATGGCCCAATCCTGCAAGGTGCTGTTTGCCATCAATTCCAATTACTTTCATAGATTATAAGGCTGAAAACTAGGAGACTATGATTATTTGATCCTGCATAACAGACAATACCAGAGAATCACCCGGTAATTTGTACATCTTTTAGAAAGATATCCAGTCTTTATGTAATGACTTCAAGTAATGGGGACTCTACCAATGACTTCAATGAGACCTCGCAGGATTGGACCCTTACAACAGGGCAACCACATTTAGATCAGTTGCACTGCACCAGCGTCATGAGAGTAGAATATATCCCCTTGTGTTTGCAGCTTGATTGTCTGGTGCCTTAATACAAGAAAAAGGCTCTTTATAAACCAATAAATAATATTAACCAAATGAGAAAGGAAATGCTCCATTATCAATCATTTCCGTCTGCCCTGTGCAGGAATCTTGACCGCCGTGTTCACAGAAGTTGGCATCTCTATTCAAACCCAACTCGGAGAACAATGAAGAAGGGGCCTTCCTGCTGGATTCCTCAATGAGACCTAGACGTCCTGGCTGCAACGTTAATGGCGAGAGACAAATTTTTTAAAAAAGGAATAGCAAATATATAATATATATATATATATTATATATATATATACACAGGAAACAAAATGCATCCTTGCACTGCTGCTATATGCTGGAGGTGAATTGCAAACAGCAACATCAACAATAACACACAAAACCAACCGCCTACTTTAGCCTTTGCAAACAAATTGAAGAATTGACTGGATTCATCAGAAAAACAAACAAAAAATCATGATAATAACAATAATATTATTAACATACAATAAACCGCCATTTTGCATGTTACATTTAAAGGACACACAACTCATGGGTTCATTTGTTGCACACTGAATGGAAAGGAAACGTGCTTTGCAACAAAGCAGCAAACAAAAAAACTCCAACAACCCACAAGCAGATGCAAAACTATTCCCCACCTAAGGAAAGAAGAGAGAGAACCATTGAATTGTTTGATTACTTTGTAATTATTTTCTGCTTCAAGATGTGTGGTGATCATCCCTCTTCCCCATTCCATGCTAGTTCTGTTACATCATTTTTTGGTTCTGTTCTTACCCCCCCACTTGTCCTTCCTTCTCTTTCCTCTGTCCCCTTGTCCGGTCTCTTGTTCTGCTGAAGGTAATAAGAACAGATCTCATTTAAAACAAAACAAAACCGATATGTATATGGTTTCTCATTTATAAAAATGCAGTCTGTAGGGGTTTCATATGAATGTGCTTTTAAGTTATGTATATTATATATAACTGGGGGTGTGAAGTGGGGGGTGGGAAACAATATTAAAATAATTAAACAGTGCTGGTAAGTTTGCTGATGACATTTTTAAATTATAATTGTTTGGTTGACTGTGGTTGATATACTATGAGAATCTTAGCTCACACTGATATCCCACAAGAAGAGAACAGGAAACATTTCATTAGCTGCTGCTCTTTGGGGGGGTGGGATGGGACGTTTGCCACTGAGTTGATGCACTGCGGCAGGAGGGGTTGGTGTAGTGACACAGTGTATGGTGTTTGTAATTGGTTGGTTGGTGATAAGGGAGGGCTCAGCAACATGGAGGGGTGGGGGACTGGGAAAGAAGGAATGGACTGCATCCATTTACCATTACCAAAATGTGCCAGACAGAAATGTCTCCCCATGCCCCCAATCCAAAGATGTTGAGGTTGTTTGGAGACTCGAGGTTAGACTGTTTGATTCCCATGCTTCCCGCCTCTAGGAGTCTTTGACTCCTCAGGTCTGGAGCCCTAGCAGCAGTAGAGGTATCATATCACACTTGTCAGCAGGTTCTTGAAAAGCAGGCACCTGGGCTAAGTTAGGGATGCATACAGTGATCCCCCCCTAACCCACTGGTCTAGACGCTTGTTTCTAGCTTCATTTCTGAACCTCAGCCCCAGCTTGAGAGCAAGTACCTCTCCACAGCAAGCTGTATGTTTGCATTTTGCCAGGGTGGCTGTAGGCTGTGCAACAGCTGCCCTGGCAGGAACAGGCGAATGGCAGCTCCCCCATGGTACTGTCTACCGATACTCTGGCTTAGGGTTGACTCCTGTCCATCGACAGTTGATGAGGAAGATACCATGTGACAAACCTGCAGGGAATAGCAGGTTTACAGGGCTGGATAGCATTGCCCAGTCATCCAGAACTTAGAGGGCAGATGCTGATGAGGCAGCGGGAAGGCAGAGAGGCTGCTTTCCCCACGACTGGTCAGAACTTGGCACTTAGATAAAGTTTTCCTCTGCTGCTGCCTATGGAGTGGAGATTTTGGGCCCAGTCTAGGACCTGAGGCACTGTGTGAGACAGGCAGTTAGGGCAGACTTAGAACCAAAAAAAGAAAAGGAAATGAACTGATTTCCAAATGGAATTGTCACGAGCTCCTGAAACTACAGAAGGGTCCACAAACATTGCACTATCTTTGTCTTTATTTCCCCACCACCACCACCCCACACTTAATGCCTGGAGAGGAAGCACATCTAACTAGTCCCCATGATAGGATCTGGGAATCCTACTGAAAATGGACAACTTGAATATTTAGAATCAGGTGGGCATACCCCATATGATCAATTTCCTACCATAGCAGGGATTCCTGAGTCTCTGGTGGGCCTTGGTCTTTGCAGTTGGCTTCTGGGGGGGAGGGATAGCTCAGTGGTTTGAGCATTGGCCTGCTAAACCCAGGGTTGTGAGTTCAATCCTTGAGAGGACCATTTAGGGATCTGGGGCAAAAATCTGGGGATTGAGCCTGCTTTGAGCAGGGGGTTGGACTAGATGACCTCCTGAGGTCCCTTCCAACCCTGATATTCTAAGATACTGTGTCTCCATGAAGTCTGTTCTCCTTTTGGCACATGGGTTTCTCCTGTAAGCATTAAAGGGATGAGCACTGGCTCCCTGACAATAGCACTGATTCATGTGCTAGTGCCAGTGAGGGTCATTTCAGGCTTCTGATGAATCCAAATGTGTAGTGTTCTCCCTGGATTCTACCTGAAAGTTCACAGCCACCCATAACCTGCTGCTGCTTTAGGGACAACACTCACCAAAACCAAAAGGAATGACAGCAATTACACAAAGACTTTTTTTTAAAAACACCCAAGTCAGCTGTAAAAACCACACGTGCTTTCAGGAAGAGAAGCCCAACTCAGAGGACCTGTTCCCAAGAGCTGTGCAAGGCATTAAGCCTGTCTGTTCTGCTATCAGAGGGGGTACATTCCCCCATGCATCACACTGGCTGTTTGACACATTTTGAATTTCAAACAAACAAACAAAAAAAGCTGGTAGAAACTTGATGCTATTGAAATTGAATTAGGGGCTACTTTGAAACTCCAGGAGCCTAATTCTGATCTCGCTCATGCTAGTGTAAAATCTGGAGTCACTCCATTAAAAACAGTGGAGTTGCACTGCTGCAAAATCGGTGGAAGTGAGATTAGAAACAGACCCTGCATGTTCAGAGCTAAAAAACAGTGGACCTATTTCTCTGGATTCCTCACAGTGAGTGACAATGGGGGGGGGGGGAGCATGAGTCTTTTGCTCACCTGGCAAGATGTGGGTTTTATAGATATATATATATATAATCCACACCTTGCCAGGTGAGCAATAGACACAAGCCTTTTCTTTATATATTTTTTATATATCTATATTGTTTGTGATGGTGTTGAAGCCATGCATCACTCTAAGGCCTTGGCTTCCTCCCACCTTCTTCGTCACTGTCGCTGACATTTCAGATTTTTCTTTTCACTATTTTTCTTTTTTCTGGGGGCCTTTCCGTTGAAGTGGGTGGGAGACACGAGTGCCTGTTTGTCCCTAAATCTGCAAGTTCATTTCAAAACTGGCCTGCAATTGCATGAGTGATAATAATAATAATAAACAGGATTTTTATTTGAAAAGCACCTTACCAACCAACTGCAATGCTCTGTCGTTCCTTCACTAACTCCCCTTTCCTCTTCCCCTGTTCCTCTTCTCCCCCTCGCCCCTTTCAATCATATTCTTTTTCAGTGCTTGGTGGTGTATGCGTGTGTGCTCACTGTTCTTGTATTCAATAAAAGTGAAATAAATGTGTTTGATGCTCAACCAGCTTGTGGCCTGAAACTGACTTTTCTCTGATCTGGACAGTAGAGAATTAGAGGAGGAGCTTTAGACCCAGGTGCTTTACAGGTTGAAAGTATGCCTGGAGGCAGCATTGAGTGAGAGCAGGAAAGAGATTGTACCTTCCCTTGTTAGCCTTGATACAGGACTGGGCAGAATGGGGACAATTCAGGGGTCTATTTAATGCAGAGGTTAAATGAGGGGGGGGGGAACGGGTTTCCTAATTTTCTTCCAAGTTTCACCCACAAAATAAGCTCCATCCACACAAGTCACCAGAATGAGATCCTGCTCACAGTACATTCTACGATGTTCAAAATATGAAGGTGCGTGCTCTCTGAGCTCCATTGGGCTGATGGTTCCCCCTTGGTGGGGCTTGAATATGTCCATGGGTTTTGTTGGCTTCTTGGGTCAGGCTCCTACTTGATTGGGTTGGAAGGGGGGCCTATAGGGATTATAATAACAAATACCAGCCATTTGTGGCACTAAAATGAGACAATACAATAAATTGTGTAGATCTGTGAACCTCCTTTCTTACATGAGGAATAAAATAGTTTTCTGAAAGCTAAGATTCTGGAGAATGAGGTAGCCATTTGAGAGAGATGCCAGTACACCGAACCATTGTGTACCAACTGAATCCAAGCCTGGAGATGGGGACAAGCTGGGACCAAGAGGTTGGATGGGTGTAGTAGGTAGATCGAAACTTAGAGCAAGGTGGGTAAAATTGCCATCCATTTGGGAATTAGGAGTGGGCTGGAAGGCAAATCCTGTCCCTGAAGGGTTTCTTTGTAAGAGAAGGGCAAATTTTGTCTTCATTTCTTCCCTGGACTAGGATGGAGGGCATGATGGAAAGCCACAAGCGGATTTCTACTAGTCAAGTCAATGACATGCAATTATTAACACTAAGGAGTCTGGTGGCACCTTAAAGACTAACAGATTTATTTGGGCATAAGCTTTCGTGGGTAAAAACCTCACTTCTTCAGATGCAACTGAAGAAGTGAAGTTTTTACCCATGAAAGCTTATGCCCAAATAAATCTGTTAGTCTTTAAGGTGCCACCAGACTCCTTGTTGTTTTTGTAGATACAGACTAACACGGCTACCTCCTGATACTTGACAATTATTAACACTATTTATGTTGAAACATTATTTTGGAGCTGTTCCATGGTCAGGTTGTATTTTTACTGCTGTGGGGATGTGAGGTTTTGGAGTCCAACCCAGACCAGTACGAGGCTAACAAGCAAACAAAAATTAAAATTTTCTTTTTAATGGCTCAGATCTAACTTGACAAGCTACGGTCTTTGTTCAAGGTAGTTCTTCAAGTGAGTGTACATGTTGATTCCACCCTTGGTGTGCATGGGATGCGCCCCGTGCACAGTTGTTGGAAATTTTTCCCTCAGTGGTACCTGTTGGGGTGGCTGCAATAGACTTTACAAGACCAGCTCTTTGAAGGGTCTTTGCTAGTTTTGGAGCAAATTGACTCCAAGTTTCATTGCTTTGAAGATCTCTAGAACAACTCTAAAGTCCTCTGGGTTGTACACTCCAGCCCTATCCAGAAAGCACTTCTGCCCACAGCAGACCTACTGTTACTCTGCCCTGGCTCCTTAGCAGAACCTGCAGAGAAAGAGGAGTAGGGATTACAGAGGCCTTCTCCTGCCTCTGCATCAATGCCTGCTCCATCTAGACACCTAGGGGTGCTAACCAGGCCTTTTGATGGGTTCCCAGGATGCCAGATTCCACTTTCCCCATATTTGCAAACCACCTTTCCCACTTCCTCAGAGCTTGGCCCGGATCTCCTCAGACCACTGGGTACTAAGCGCTGTGGAAATTTATTTCCCCCATCCCTCCCCAGGGCCCACTCTCACAAGGAGCACGGCCGCCAGAGGTTCATTCTCTCCTTCAGGTAGAAGCCTCTGTGAGCGGGGAGGGGCCCAGGCTCCAGCTCCAGCCCAGGTCAGTGGCCCTGGACCAGATGTGGATTTCATTGCTGTGGAAACATGAGGCCAGCGGGCAGGTCATGAGCTAGTTACCCTACACCTGAGCTAGGAACATGGCTGATGGAGTCAGGATCTCTGACACGTGACGACTTCCTCACTCTGTCACCTCGCTAATGCCATCCCGGGGGTGTTCCCTGTCTCTCAGGGCCGGAGGGGGCCAGGGCCCTTTCTGCGGGGGCAATGGGGCTGCCCGGGCCGCTTTCCCGGTGGGACCCGCTGGGCTGGCGGAAGTAGCTGCGCTTCCGGGCCCGGCGCTCGCGCACTGACTGAGGCGGGGAGCGAGACCCAGGTGAGCAGCGGGGCTGAAACGCCCCCAGCGCCCGGGCGGGGGAGGGATTTAACCCCCTGACTGAGCAACGGAGGTTTGTACCCGGGAGTGGTGCCGGCGGGGGTGTACCCGGGAGGGGGAAGGGTTACGGGTGCCGGGAGGGGGAAGCTTGTACCCGGGCGGGGTTCCGGGTGCCGGAGGGGGGCGGTTGTACCCGGGAGGGGTTCTGGGTGTTGAGGGGGGGGGCTTATACCCGGGGGGGAGGGGTTACGGGTGCTGGGGGGGTGTACCTGGGAAAGGAGGGTTCACAGGGGCCAGGGGGGCAGACCGGGGTCTGGGAGATTAGACCGGGAGGGGGAAGCCTGAGGGGGGTTATCTGCTGAGTATTTTTATAAACACACCTTGTAAAATCTTCTCTCATTTACTGACTTGCTACTGCGAGGTGTGTATTGCGGGGCTATAATCTGTGATGTTTCTCATGATCCTCGCTGGAAGGGCTGTGAGTAGATATTGTGCTTTCGTTGGTATGTTTTTAGGACTGACTTTGTCTAGCTGCTAAATATCATTGTATTGCTACAGCTTTCCCTCCTCTCGCCTTGGCTAGTGCAGTGAATTGCTGCTCTGAGCTCAGGGGCTGGGGTCAGAAGGCTGCCTGTCTGGATGCCTAGGCACCCATGTATTGTTATTTATTAAGCACTAACTGTTCTTTTTATTGTGTAAGGCAGAGATATCAAAACAGCCCTGCCTCAGGGAGTGTGCAGTCCAGAAGTACAACATCAGGCTATGTTAACTTGCCAAGGTTTTAATAAAATATGCTGGATGGAAGCATGTGTGTATTCATGTAATACAAGTTCAATGTGCTTGCCCTATCCTAGATTCCTGGTGGAGAGGCCTGACATAACAGAAGGACTAGCAGACAAGATGGCAGAGATGCAGATAGATCCAGACCTGGCCAAGAGACTCTTTTTTGAGGGTGCCACAGTTGTCATTTTGAACATGCCTGAGGGGACAGAGTTTGGCATTGATTACAACACTTGGCATGTGGGCCCCAGATTCCGGGGAGTCAAGATGATCCCTCCAGGCATCCATTTCTTCCACTATAGCTCTGTCAACAGGTGTAATACCAAAGAGACAGGTCCCCGTACTGGCTTCTTCTTAAGCCTGCAGCAGCGAGACTTGCAGATTCTGCACTGGAACTCATTGAATGAGGAAGTGGACCTCACCCCAGCATCTGAAGAAGAGATTGAAATAATGAGGTCAAACCTCCAGGAGATGGACAAGTTTCTTGGGCCATACCCATATGAGACCCTCAAGAAATGGATCTCCCTCACTAACTTCATCAGTGAACCAGTG